TGTCAAATGAGCATACTTAACTAGAGATAATAGTAGAAAGTCAAGGAGTGTTAGTGAAATTAATTTTACTTTCCAACATTATTTACCACATTTAGCAATAAAAGGGAGGTGAAGTAAGCTGTTGAAAAATTGAATTCATAGACTTAAAATTTGAAAAGATAAAAATAAAAATAATCCAAATATCTTATCCTTCTCTTGCACTTGTTATATTAATAGTTAATACTTTAATACACAATATTTAATTTTTTTTATAACAAAATAATGCAATTTTCAGATTTTCAGATATCTTATTCTAATTTTTGGGACGATCCAAAGTTTCCAAACAACAATAAAAAACTGTACGGATCAAAACTTCCCGAAACAACTGCAACTCCCTTATTGTAGACAATGGCAATAGATGGTCGGCAATAGCAGTGAACATGTTTCTCAAAGGAATTTTATCAAACACCTTGAAGAAGCACAGATCAATACTAAATCATCACCACTCTTCCTTCTTCTTCACAGTCCCTTTCTCAACCGCCCAAAATCCCTCAAACAAGAATCACGACGAGTCCCGCGTACTGAGCCAACTCGCCGATCTCCTCCCCATATCAATCCACACCCCCAACCCTCCAAACACCCAATCGGATACCAAAGCCGTCGATGATTTTCTCCAGCCGGAAGACAAGCTGCGCGGGGTTTTCCTTCAGAAACTATGCGGCAAATCCGCCGTTCATCGCGCGTTAGACGGCGCTGGCGTCGAATTAAACCGCCGGATATTTGCTCAGGTGCTCGACAAAGGATGCTTGTGCGGCGAATCAATGGTCGACTTCTTCAATTGGGCGATTGACCGGCCGGACCTGCCAAGGGACATCGATGCTTACCATACTCTGCTCAAAGCATTGGGTCGGAGAAAATTTTTCTCTCAAATGGTGGGTGTGTTGAATGATTTGAGGGACAAGGGGCTGAGCCCTAATCCTGAAACCCTCTCCATTTTCATGGATAGCTATCTCCGTGCTCGTCAGGTTTCGAAAGCCACGAAATTTTTTGCAGAGTCAGAGACTTACGGATTGGAACAAAACCAGGCGACTCTGAATGTTGCTTTGACATGCTTCACCCGACGCCTGCACATCGGCGTTGCATGTAAGGTGCTCGACAAAATGCGAGGCAGAGTACAATTCAGCTGCGAAACCTATAACACCATCATAGGCGGGTGGTCCAAATCCGGTAAATTTTCCGAAGTCGAGAAGTTCTTGAAAGCAATGATGGAAGATGGCATTGATCCCGATTGCATTACTTACAGCTACATCATCGAGAGCTTTGGGAGGGCCGGTAAAGTCCGTGATGCCGTTCGTATATTCAATTTCTTGGATGAAAAAGGGAATTCGTTGAGTGTGGAGGTTTACAATGCCATGATCTTTAACTTTATCTGTAATGAAGATGTTGAAGAGGCCTTGAAGCACTTCGAACGCATGTTGAGCGAAGGGTTCGAGCCGAACATAGAAACTTATGTTAGAATCATAACGTGCTTTCTCAAAAGAAGACGAGTTTCAGATGCTATTGAGATGTTCGATCAAATGCTTGGCCGGGGGATAATTCCACCTACAGGGACTGTGACTCGATTTATCGAGACTTTGTGTAGCTATGGCCCGCCACATGCTGCATTGGTGATTTATAAGAGTGCACGAAAAGCGGGTTGCGAAATATCGGCCACGGCCTATAAGCTTTTGTTGGGTAGGTTAGCTAGGTTTGGTAAGTGTGGAATGGTTTTGAGTTTGTGGGGTGAAATGCAAGAGAGCGGTTATTCACCGGATGTGAAGGTTTATGAGTGTGTGGTGAATGGGATGTGCAATGTGGGGAGGCTTGAAAGTGCGACTCGTGTTATGGAGGAATGTATTGGTAGGGGATTTTTTCCGGGCAAGGTTATTTGTAGCAAGTTGAAGAATAAGTTGATGGAGTCGGGTAGAGTGGAGATGGCGTATAAGCTTTTCCTCAAGTTGAGGAAGGCTCGTGTTAACGAGAATGCGCAGAGATATTGGAGAGCCAAAGGATGGCATTACTAGCTTAATATGCATTTTTGGTTCAAAAAGGTGAGATGGGTCGACCTGCCTAACAGTAGGCTGCCTTGCACAAGAATTTGTATTTTCGTTTTGATAGAATTTCCAAAGTGCGGCAAAGAGAAAAGCTCATGGTATTCAAATGCACTGCAATTAGTTCCTCTCAATTACAATTTTCTTACTACATCCAAACTTCTCGGCCGCCTTCTTGGTCAGACCAAGTCCGCAGAGGTAAGTCCTCAGCTTCGCCGGATTATTCTTGAATGCCGGCAGTTCTTCCAGTGTCCTTAGATACTCCGGCGGCAGGTTTCCGGTGATCTTAAAAGACTTTGCGGTTGTCCGGAGGAGATCCTTGCAGAGAATGGGCCTCCATTTGGAAATTGGGCCGGCCTCTGGATTTGGGCCGAGGAGGAGGTTCACGCACTCCTTGATGGAATCCGATTTTCCGGCGGGTGGCTGCGCAGCCGTTGTGACGGAGAAAATGAGGAATGTGATGGTGATGACCATGGGTATTGAGTTAGCTTTCATGTTTATTAAGGTGTTATTCTTTCTTTATTTATTTATCTTGCTGATGGTTTTGTTGGGGATTTTATACTTACTAATGGTACGAATTTTTTCAATGTTGATGTATTCGTATTTACGTTTCTTTTTATCATTAATGACTCCATAAAGATGAGATAATTTTGCATGTCTAAAGAACAATTATGGATATATGGTTTTCGTGATAAGTTGTAAAATGATATTTCGCTCTTTTTCTGTTTCTCTTTTTTGACCAAATACCGTCGACTTTTATATTGGACAAAAAGTAAATACTATGATTGGTATATTTGCTTCTATTTTTTTAACATAACAGTACAACACACTTGTAACAGTCTGTATTACTATTATCAATTTATCATATACTTGATTTGATTAACGAATTGAAAATACGGCTTTTTCGAAAAAAAATTCCCTTTTTTCTCTAATATGTCAAAAATGGGTCGAAAAAAGGATATTAATAATTTTAAAATAAATATATAATAAATAATTACTTTTATAGTTGTATTGGAAATTTCGTGTTGTCGTATTATTTTATGAATTTTTTCTATTTAAAAATGTTGTTTATCAAGTTTCTTTTCAATTTATTGTTTTTTTAACCAAATTATTCAAATAATTTTTTTACCAAAAGGTTAGTTGGTGGATTAAACCTTCAAACGAGGTTCAATCAATTAATTTAACATTATCCCTAAAATTTGAAAGAATCCTCTCTAGGTTCAATCTATTAATGTAACATCAATCAGTTGAAATCTGAAAGAGAACCCATACATGTGACCAGTGGGTGTGATTGCGACATCGGTCAACTATTATATTTATAGTTTTTTTTTTCTTTCTTTTTTTTTAAGTATATTTATTTAAAAAATTATGGTTACCAATAGTTTAGATTTGTACAAAAAATTAAAAACAAACAGCTTTCACAAAAATATTTTCCTTGACAAACACAAACCTCACTTATAAAAATATTGACTCTAACAAATACGATTGGGATAAACACAAACCTCAATCGCTACACCACAAAGGTTAATTTCAATTTTCCCAAAAAATATCACCTTTTTTCAATCTATTCTTATTAAGCTCTCAAGTTTAATCAAGTTGAAAACAAAGTCACAAGAGAAAACAGTATATCAACATCAGACAAACAAAATCGAACATAGACAGAAAAACATCATGGTAAATGTGCTTACGTAATCATCAAAAACACAAATAGAAAAACATAGTTAGTCACTTGTCAAGATCTCATGATATTTTAATTTTCAACTACATACTCAACAAGTAGATTGAGTAAATGCCAAAACAGAAGTAGCAATATTTCATCAAATATTCATGTTGAAGTTGCCAAAAATGTGTAACAAGTAGTTATCTTCAGATATATCTTAGTCTCTTCATTACAGCCTGGGAACAGTACTAAATGTCTAAAATCATAAAAAATGAAAAAAAGACCAAAAATTTACTAAACAAAAATAAAACCAAGAAAAAAAAGAGAAAAAGAAAGTAATGAAAAATCTGCCTGCAAAAGTGATATTTGCAACTTCAGAATCCAACTTCTAGGTCAGCTAATAGAAATATTGTCCTTAGTGTTCCCCAGATTTTCTGTTCCAACATCAGAATGTAACATAAATTGCCCGACAAAAGAGGGAAAAAATGAAACATCAAATTCTTGTTCCCACATCAATCAACAATCGCGATTTCTTTATCTTCAGCTTCTTTCGAAATTGCCTTTTCATGACACGCCAAATTACCCTTTTGCACTGGAAAGAAATAAAAGCTGATCCTGTAGGTGCTTTACTTACAAAAAGCAGAATGCTACACGAGAAATGGAGACAAATCTATACTGCCATTTGAATTTGACAAAAAACATCAGTACTGAAAGTCAATGGCCCCGAATCAAATAGATGTATAATTGGGGAAGAGCCGTATTAGCTTCTCGATGGTTTCAGGCATAAATTTCCTCCCAAACAAATAACAGGGTCGTGGGTTTCCATTCCACAAGCATGGTCTGATCTGAATTTCTTTCTGCATTTACAGAGGAATAATTCAAAATCATAAAACCGAGATAACTCACCCTGGCCAAGTACAGATGGAAATAAAACTAACCTTCTCCTCACTGGTCACGTGCACACTCTCTACGATGGACTGCAAGATTAGTCGGAAAAGAACTCAGTTCATAGTATTGGCAAATTCTATGTTAATATGTGCAATCAAGTTTGACAATTGAATATCTTGCGGAAGATTGTGAAAATCCAAAAAAAAATATGAGTGTATGCGTGTGTCTATATATTATATATGAGGGTCAGGCCATACTGTAATATTTCTCATCAGCTCAAATGTTACATCTTGTGCACTATACGACTTTGGATGCCACTTGCCCTCAGACCAATCAACATGGGTTACTGACCAATTGGCTATTCCACCCGGATCAAGCATCTGAAATGGTAAAAGAAATAATAATAGAACAACAGAGGGAATGATAGAGGATGACATCTTAGCACGAAAATCGGAATGTACAATGGTTCTCACATGGAAAAAAGTAGGTAGATAATGTTCATCAGAGTAACAGTTGCGTCCCTTTTCCATGCCTGGCTGTTCAATCAAAAGAAACAATTGACTATAGTCACTCAATAACATGTGTTACTAACTTACTATTATACAAACGAATCTACCAAATATCTGGTAAAATTCATTATAAAATTAGAACTTATATTACCCTGCAATAATCTCTGAATTTACTGTAGTAGAGGCTGTCAGCCATGATTATAAGAGCATGTTGTCGCTTCATAGTGAACCACTGCATTA